TCACAGAAAAAGCACCGAACCTACGACAAAGAAAAAGCCGCACTACAAGAAACACCAAATTGGACGACACCAGAAACAAAAAACCACCAAACCGGATGACACCAACGACGAAAGAAGAAAGCACGCTGCAAAGAATACCGAATGGGAGGCACTAGGGACGGAAAAGAAACACTGAACTAACGACACCAACGACGAACGAACAATCTAAACTAGTTATAAAATAAATAGTACTCATTAAATAAAAAAAGAACAAGAAAAAAAAAAGAAAAAAAAAAGAAATAAATTTATTTTTTTAAAAAGGGTTTCTTTTCTGCTAATGCTTTTTTGCAAGACCCGGGCCTTTTACATTACACAAAATTTAGAACCTATAATAGACCCGGGTCTATACACAGCCAGCTTTGAATGCATCACGTTTTTGCATTTATACTTAATAACGAACTAGATTTTGAAAAACTAAATCCGATTAATATAGACCCCGGTTTTTGAACCAAATATATAGCAAACCTGTAGAGAGGTGATTTATAGCTAAATTATCTCACCTAAAATCCAAAGAAACCAGCGTGGTGCCACAATTTGATGTAAGTCAGTGTGACGCATAAACTAACACATCTCATTCAGCTTTGTAAAGAGCACCAACTAGTGTTTTTCCTTTTTCTGATCTAAAAATAGCCCACATGATGTTTCTGAAAAATACATATAACGCGTTCCTCTTTCTGATCCAAGCTTGTTACTGATAAAGCGCAAAAAATTCAGCATGGTATTCTTGCGAAGTGCTTTTCTTTACCTGACCCTAAATGATCATTAAAAAATTCGAATAAAGGCGTTCTCAAGCACCTACCTCAATGAATTCAATAAAAAATCTAATTGGCTAGTTTGATCAAATAAACCAATCAAATTCATTATTGAATCCATTGAGGTAGGGTAGGCATTTGGGAACGCCTTAAGTCAGTGTAAAAGTTCATCTTTAAAAACGCGCCAACAGCACAAACAACGTAACCTACAAGTGAAAAACTTCATAACTAGGACAACAAATTTTCTCAACGAAATTCGACAGAACCTAGAACAATGAAATTGCGTCAACGAAGCTCCAGTAAAACAGCGATATGGATACTACAAGTGACGAAGACTCGACACAGGACAACCACAAGCACCAAAATCTACATCCATAAAAATGTGGAAACGACAAAACCTAAGACAACGAAATTGCGTCGACGAACAAAAACCTAGGACAACAAAATTGCGTACTAAAACTCCATTAAAACAATGATATGGAACTATGAAATCTATGTTCACATTAACACTGGCACCTACGCAACGACCTGGAACCACCCAAGCGACGAAATTCACGGCAGCAATGACACCTAAAGCGACGAGTTACACCGAGGCTCCAATAGTACGACGATACAAAAACTGGCAACTCCAGCGACGTCGACACATTCACAAGTACATACTAGTTAAAAAAAAATAAGTGTAGTGATTATCGATAATCATTGTTTATATTTCTCGTGATTGTTACGTTACATGGAAAAGCGGGTATAAAAAATTTTAATGTACCTCTAGGGTACATATATATTAATTCTTTTAATAAAAATAAAATAATGGATTGTCGTTGCTGGGAATCGAACCCAGTGTGAATCACCGACAGACAACGACTTAAAACCGT